AAAGTAGGTAGGTATACAAGTAGTGAAGAAAATGTTACATTTGGTGTTCCTCAGGGTAGTGTGCTTGGACCCACACTTTTTCTTGTGTATATCAACGAGCTTTGTAAACTAAACATCCCACATGCAAAAATCTTCTCATACGCAGATGACACTGCGATTGTTTTTAGCGGTGACTCATGGGAGGATGTACACAGAAGGAATGAGGAAGGTTTAACTGGAGTGGCTACATGGTTGGATGCCAACTTGCTAACATTGAACACAAACAAGACAAACTTTATTTGCTTTAGTATAGATAAAAGAACCCTGCCGGTTAATGAATTTAGGGTTAGGATTCATAAGTGTACCGCTAATAATATAGTAAACAACTGCCCCTGTTCATACATCAATAGAGTTACTAATACAAAATACTTGGGTATTCTGGTTGATCAGCGGCTGTCTTGGTATGAACACTTGGAACAGGTTATGGGCAGGTTGAGAAAACTAAACTGGGTCTTCAAAGTACTTAGACATGTTGCTGGTAAAGACCTTGTAAACAAAGTGTACATAGCACTAGCTCAGTCACTTCTATGTTATTGCATTTCTGTATGGGGTGGCGCTGCAAAGACAAAGTTTCTAGAGTTAGAAAGAGTACAAAGATCCCTACTTAAAGTGATGTACTTTTTACCATACAGGTTTCCCACTAAAGAGTTGTATACGTATGCTGATCTCTTGTCGATTAGAAAACTATATATTTTGGGTTGCATTCTAAAAATACATAAAACTCTAACATATGACTCAAATATAATAAATAAAAGAAGAAATTGTACTGTTCTGTCTGTCATACCTGTTAAAACAAGTTTTGCTAAAAGACAATTTACAAGACAAAGTGCTGACTTATATAATTTGATAAATAAGAAATTGAACATTTACCCTATGAATTTATACGAGTGCAAGAGTACCCTGAACGCATGGCTTAAAACACAAAAATACAGTGAAGTGCAAAGTCTGTTACAAATTATAACGTGACAAAATCACACACCACGCACGCACGCACACACACACACACACACACACACACACACATTCAGACATTTTCGCTATGTTCTCTTTTTGTTTTTATTTTTGAACTACTTACTTTTAGATTTAAAACAAATAATTGGAAATAAATCATAAACTTTTTGTACATTCTATTAAGGAAGAGCGGGGTCTCCTGACACAGGTATTTATATACTTAAAAGGAGTACCCTTGCCACTAATTTGTTTTGTATGATTTGTTGATGAATAAATATTTTTGTATTTTTTTGTATTTTGTATATTTCCATTTCATAATTTCCATCCTTCATTGTTTAGATTTACCTATAATATACTACCTACCCTATCTTGTTAATCGCCGTACCAAAATTCCGTTTGCTTTTATTTTTATTCCGCAATTTCCTTTCCCCGTTTTTAAATTCCTATTAATATCCAAAACCCCACATCAAAGTTCCACAACAACAACAACTGCGACGACAATGATATCCTGAAGTCTCAAGAAGAAGAAAGTATTGCAAGAATTATCAAAAATTGGCAACTCAATCGAAACTGCATATGGCCAAAGGCTGGATGCCATAGTGCCAGGAAATAAGAAAAAAAAAAGTAACTTCGCGTTTTTTCTTAGACTGTGGAAACTTTTTTCCATCCTCTAAGCGTTTTTTCCATCCTCTAAGGCGTCGCCTGTCGTATCTGCGACACTACTCGTGCCTAACATCGCTATAGCGAAGTGACCGTTTACACATGCGTATCGTGCATCGCATCGCCTATCGCACGAATGTGAGAACGCAGCATAATAATAATAAATGAAAACTTTTTTTTTTTAATTATTGCTGGCCATGGAAACAAAGTCCTTCAGCCGAAAACATATAAATGAAAACTTCTGTCAACACAACAAACAACCAGTATTGCCAATTTGCGGGCTATGCCCCAAACTGCGGGGCATTTCAACTCTATTGGAGATTTTGTGCGGATTGATGCTATTTGGGGAAAATATGAGGATTCTACTATTTTATAATTTCTATCGATTGCTGATGCATCGCTAGTTTGGTAGTTCCTGATAAAAACACTATGATGAACGATATCGACAATTTTTTCAACTTCGCACAAACTTCGCATTATTAAACAAGCCGCTTATATAGAATTATTTTCAGAGCACTCTTGGTTCTGAATTGTAAAATTACCAGTCGGTGCGTGTAGAGTTCGCGATTATTTTTCCCACTTAGGCCGGTCCCCGGTATGAAGAAAAAGGAAATCAGATATTGCTAAATAAAGCCAATCATTTGTTACTTATTTCCACACCACACTCGTCAACTTTAAATATTACTTTATTTACTCATTGATTATTTCTAACCTTAACATATTGGCACAAAATGCGCAACAAATAATTATGTTACGTAATTTTGTAAAGCTGAGAAAAATTATTTAGTTTTTTTAAGACTGATTGATTTGAGTCTCATTAAAATAATGGGATAATCTAAGGGGATAATATTATTTGACCCTCAAACAAATAATTGATCTACTGTAAATGTGCACTTTTTTTAAATAAACGATATTTTTTTATGTTTGATATTAATTGTTCCATCTGTATTAGTTGATCTACGCATAAATTATAAATGAACTGCATTCAAGGTAACACTGTTATTACGTTTGCGTTTGAGCATACTAGATTAATATTTGGTATTAACAAATAATATTTGATACTTTTTTTTAACATTGGTCTTTTCTTTAAACGATTGATGACACTTATAACCTGTATATCTTTTGATATTGATCTCCTAATAAAACTTGATTGCGCCCTCCATGCAGTAGCTTAGGTTAGTATATGAAAAAGCAGCACGAGCCGAGCAAGCGAAGCGAGCGTGTCGCGGCATGCGGCAGTGGCCGGCGAGTGACAGAAACCAATTGGCTTGCGCTTCCAAACATGTTTTCAAGACAAATTATAACATAGTTTATTAATTATATTATAATTTGAATTTATTATATTATCGTATATTAGTATACAATTATAATGTATACTAATATTATATTTAATATTAGTATACAAATATAATCAACATTTACTTCGTTTTAAAAATAAGTCTCAAAATTGTATTTTGAATGCTCATTTCTATTGTTAACTTCAACATGATACGCTATAAAGAATTTGGATTTGTGTTAGTGTTGAGACCCAACATAAAACTATCAAAGTTAATTTATACAAATCAACCATATTTTGCATAGCTCAGAACATATTGAAATATCGATCGGTTTTATTTAATTTATGTCTCAGAGAAAGAAAATCAATAATTAAAAAAGATAACCGTTTGGATTTTTTGCTTGCTGCTTTTGCAAATGTAAAAAGTTTATTTAAATACATGCCTAAAATAATTAAACCATTTAGGGTTATCTAATTTTATAATTTGCTTTACATTTTAATTCTGTTTACATTCACAGCATATAGTATGGTTACATTTTGAGTTTCATAATTCTTTGGCATATTTTAAAGCGATGTATTATAACATTGACTTACAAATTATTATAATAAATAATGAGCCCTGTACCCCACCTACGGGGTGATAAGTACACCCCGTAATATAAACTTCTCTTCGGTGACACAGCGGTTAGTAGGTACTATGGGCGCTTGATGAGGTGGTTCCGGGTTCGATTCCCGATTTGGGCCAATTTAGGAAACGAACATTTCTAAGTTGTTTCTGGTCTGGATATTCTGGGTATTAAAGTTATCTTTATTCTGGTATTCATAGTACAAGAAATTCCCTTCTTTTGAGACCAGAAATTTGGTGTGATTGTCTCGCATTTTTTCCCTAAATACTTCTTGACATAGCTTCCAAGAAAAAGGAATCTAAAAGAGAGACAGCCGAGATGGATATACAACAAAGCTATTTCATTTCCAGTACATCGGGAAGAATGCCTTATATTTTGAACAATTGTGAGATCATGTACTCATAATAGAAGCTCCATATACTACCTACGTACGGTGGCGTGAGGACGCTTCGGGCTTCGCCCACCGGTGAACCCCGGCTTACGGCCTCGGCACGGCACTCTAGGATTGTCTGATAATAATTTGATCACAAATTATTATCACACAATCCTAGAAACATCTTCGTGCTAATTTTCGGCCCGAGCAAAGCAATTTTTTTCTACAGCCATTTTCATCAAAAAAATTATCCGCAAATTATGATCAAACACCCATAGTTCCGATTATCAGTCAGATTAGAGCACATTTTATACGCTTGTATGGCGGCCACCGCTTGCCAATTTTCAACCGAATCTGAGTAAATATTTTTCGGCAGTCATATTAAAAAATGGCGAAAAACATCTTTTCATCCCAAATTATAAGGACTTCTAAAGATCTGCGAATGACAATTTTCAGCCGGATCGAAGCAAGTGTTTCTTCGGCCGCCATTTTTAACTTGCCACCTTGAATTTTTTTGACACAGACAGTTGACCACCTAAGGCATTCCTTCCCCTCTTACTTAGCTGTAATAGTTTCCGTGATAGAAAACTTTGAAATTTGTATGGCGGCCATATTTTACTTTTGGCAAAAGTTGGCCAAACTGTTGCCAAAAGTGAAAGATCATTTGTGCACTTTTATGAGGTATCATAAAAGTGCACAAATGTATTTTAGAGTTTTTACAGGCCGTTGGTCACTCTTTTATATTTTCCAGTCTTCATATTTGATTCTTTGCCTTGGATCCTATCCGCGTACAACGGTATAAATATCTTTTTTCACCATATCAGGAAGCATGCGTTCTATTTTTCTAAGTAAGCGTAAGTAAGCACTTGTAGATTTAGATAATTATAAAAGATAACAAGAACTCGAGATGTCGGGAATTTAACTATGCTCTCCCCAAATTTGGGGATTTTGAACAATTGGCAATGTCCATGCTGCAGAGCTGCAAATACCTAACGTCATATTGACAATATTCATCAATATTGACATAAGTCACAAACTAATAAGAGATACTACGTTGGTCTGTGGACATGGCGATATTGATTGGCGACTATACCCTCAAGAAGATATAATAAAACATTTTCTGTTCTGAAACATACACAGTACATGTATCAATCAGTATAAACGTGGTATAAACTTACTTTAAAATAAAATCACGAATTATAATAGTTTCAAGCTCACATTTAACATCTGTGATTTGTGTGATGGTTGATTACACATCGCGATTGCATCAATCAGTCTGGAGATACATAAAGCCATAAAACCAAGCTTATAACATATGTAAATGAAATTTTGGTGTAAACTAACAGCTATTTTGTAACAATGGCGCTTTACGAAGGAATAGCTCTAATACAAGAGAAGCAAGCGGTCGTCTTAGACCTCGGAACTGATTACACCAAGTTCGGTTTTACAGGCGAGGCAGCACCTCGCTGCATCGTGAGGACTGAGTTTTGGTGTACCGCGGAGCGTCGCTACAAACGAGTCTACGAATACAAGACTCCGGAAGAACTGTATGATAATCTTGTAAACATGCTACATTTACTATACTTCAGACATGTATTAGTTAACCCAAAAGAACGGAAAGTTGTCGTCGTCGAGTCCCTGCTCACCCCAACATTATTTCGAGAAACTCTAGCAAAGGTTCTATTCACTCATTACGAAGTCTCAGGTGTAATATGGGCTGATAATCCACGAATGTGTGCTTTGACATTGGGCACACCCATCACACTCATTGTGTCTGTTGGTGCTAGAGAAGCGGAGGTATCAGCAGTTGTTCATGCCTGTCCTGTTCTCCGTGCATTACAATCACAGCCTTTAGCATCTCACGCTATCCATGACGAATTAGCTCGTCTAATAGATGAAGACAATAACTCTGAATTACATTTATCTGATGATATCATTGAAGATATTAAAGTTAAAACTTGTTTCATCACTACACGTGAGCGTTCTGGGAAGTGGGCGGCTGGTGAAACACTGCAATGTAAAAGTGTACAGTATCCAGTACCTGGCCGGGCAGCTATCACTATTTCAGGAAAAACAAGAGAATTAGCTGCAGAATCCTTATTTGTAAGGGATAATGAATTGGCATCCCTACCCGATATTATATTGCAATGTATTATGCTGTGTCCTATTGATGTGAGGAGACCTCTGGCTGAGAATATTTTAGTTACCGGTGGTACAGCATGTATGCCTGGTCTTAAAGTGAGGCTTGCACAGGAACTTAGGCACTTGGTTACGCAGCCACCCTATAATGAGAGACTTCACATCAGCGAATTCAAGTTCCATTCCGCACCTGCTCATGACAACAGTGTAGGGTGGCTTGGTGGGGCATTAGCTGGTGCAGGAGATGCTGGTGCCACAAGAGCTATGTCCAGAGATGTGTATGTAAGGGATAAGAGGTTAAAAGATTGGGTGTGCTTATTAGATAACACTCCAAATGATCATCCACATAGGGATAGCACTGAGATTTAAATTACTTATCTGATGACATTAGAAATATTAGAAGCTGCTTGATATTGAAATTTTAATAACATGTTGTACTTAAAACAGCACTCTGAAAAAACCAGCAGAATTTGTCGAGGAAGGTTTTAAGTGAAACTAAAAGCACATTTATAACAATTTAATTTATTTAACAAACAAATAACAAAATACAGTGTTTCATTTCAGTCATAATTTAAATTGTCCTAGCTATAATAGATGTGCAAGAATCCATAGTTTAATTCCACCCATTTCCTGGTTCATAACTAGGTATTAAAACAATTTCTAGAATGTTAAACATTATATTACTAAAGTATAACTTCTACATGATAAAGAGGTGGAATAATCAAAATGTATGAAGTGTGCAAGCACTGTTTTCATAAGTTTCAATTCAGCTAATAGGCCGGTTTGTAAGTAATTATTACAATATTTGACAAAAGAAAAAATAATCAAGTACCACAATTAAGAAGCATGCTACGAATTTCGTGATTGAGCTGTTTGACCATCTCTTCATTGGGGCTGTCCTGTTGAATGAGACGGTCCCGTTGCGTTATTAACTCATTCAATTTCTCGTTCATAGGATTCTTTGGAGCATTTCTGGCGAAAGAAAAGTGCACATAAAGAACTTGTTTATATAGTTACAAGATGTCTACAAAGGCTCTGGCTGTTTACATCAAAACTGAAGCAAATAATCAAACATTGCATTGAAACTCGGGAAAGTAAATTTGTGTTCTACAAAACTTGGCACAATCGCAATAATCATGATAGTTTTAATTTTGTACAATATGCACAAATTCATTATTATATTATTTATTATTAAGTAATTATATAAATTATTCATTCGGGCTGGTTTCCGCAACCACGAGCTACTATGTTTCTTACACTGCAACCTTTAAATATAAAATGACAACGAGGCTTCCCAACCTGCACACTAGTGCTGGTGAAATTACAGGCACATAGGACTTGTCAAGTTATTGTCTCAGGCCGTCACCCTGTGGCAGTGCCCCTCAGATCTTTGCGATTTAAAGCTCAGTGGCACTGCAACTAACATAGACAGGCGTGTCGCTTTCCATCAGGTGGACGACTTGTTCGTCCCATCACTTGGTATCATAAAAAAAACACTTGTCACAAAAACTTTATACTCACTTTTCGAGATCAAACATTTCCATTCCTTGAGGTCCAGCAGCACTGATCATAGAGTGAGTATCCAATGCTGGTGTATTGGCGAGTATATCAACGTAGAAGTCGTCCTTCAGCCTTTTTAAATCTATTTGGCTCTGGCTAGTACTATTCTCATCTGGTATTGGGTCTAACCTAAAATTTTAAAAATATATAAAATAAATATGGACAAAACCCTTGTTTGCGCACTCCCGGAGTACAGAGTGCGGTGTATACTAATAAAACAATTGCTTCTCCAGCAAATTGTTTTTTTTAAATTAAAAATTTAAATTTTAGCAATCATTATTATTCATGAATACTTATTTAATAATATACATATTATTAAATAAGTATTCAATTTAATAATATGTAAAGCATCAAAGCATACGCTATATTTTTATTATTATACGTTTTCTTTATGTATTATTTAATGACATGCAAAATAAACAAATGATTATGCCCCTCGCCATGTTGCTGCATTTTTTTACGTTTTGTAATTTCTTATAACGGCACAGTTTCTCTGAATATCTTTTCAGCTTTTTTAAGTGTTCAAGAAATAAAAACACTACATGCAAAAGAGTAACAATATTGGTTCACCTTTTTTAGAAATCATGTAATGATTTATCATCTGACAACTACCACTTCATACAAGGAGTTCGTATTTCTAATAAATAAATCATTCGATACCGCAAAAGAATTACAGCAATTATTGACGGATTAATTTGAAAACAAAAAAAATTAAATTTAAACTGTACTTATTGCATTCTCTATGAATGATACAGTACCCCATCTCTCCGAGCTGTTGTCTGTCCTGCTGCAACTGCGATAGCATCTGCTTTCTCGTATGCAACTTACTAAGGTGTAATTCTCGTACTGCACGACCCCACTGTTCTTTGAAGAACGCTTTCGATTGGACTGCACTATCCAGTTTCTCTTCGAGACAACGCTAAGTTTGAAAGGTGGAGATTATTCACTAAATGGTAATCACTAATTACATGTTTCATACAGGTAGTTGTGGCGGCGGTTTTAGATAATTCGCACATGAAACTACTAAAAACAGTTCAATTATGGAATTGAGATGACACGATTTGAAAGTTCAAAAATTACTGAATAAAACCAATGAATATATATTGTCGTTTATAAATAGATAACTAAATATTATGTAAAATAAAAATAATCGCATTATTCCCAATAAAATCCATTCAGTAGTTTTTTTTAAATCGTTCCACAATTTTGAATTCATGTGCGAATTATTTAAAACAAGGTAATAAGCGCAGAATGCTATTTACACATGGTGCGTAAGTATGAACATATGGAATCTAACGCAGGGAAAGAGTTTGCTATTAAAGAAAATAAACCAATGCTGTATTATATCTTACCAATTCCTGAATAAGACTAGCAGTTTGACCTTTCGTAAGTCCTGAATATTTGGTTTCGGCTTCTTTCTCGTTATTTCTCAGATTGTTCTGAGAAAAAAGAAACAAACATTAAAGCCATTTAACTAAACAAGTGTTTAAGTTTTTAGTCATTTATTCCCAGTAGTTCCATGTATAGACAAGAGCACATCAAGCTTGACACTTTGTACTTTGGACCATTCTTATCGTAAGGGGCATAGAGTTGGACAAGTCTTAAGTATAAAGCTTGACGTGCTCTTGACCTTGTACTCACTTCACATGGAACTATTGTAACCTTTAGTTCTGCGTAATTTTAAAATATTCTTACACCTGAGTTTTCTTCCACGTCCGATCTTCAGAAGTTCATTAACCCCATTTCCAAGACGGACAAATGTTTTAAAGAGTCCATAAATGCAGAACATGCGATAATAAAACACAGTTTAATTCTTACTTTAAATTATATCGACTCCCGTGCAGAATTTGAAAGCTAGATATTGTCAATGTTCTTAAAACTAAAAAGAAATCTCCCAATTTATTAACAAACAATAATGCAATAATTAGGGCAGTTTCTATTTTTTTTAATTAGAAGTTGGAATATCTAGCGTAACTGTTCTAAAAAGAAAATGATATACATTTCTCCTGTTACTAGCTTCATTTGTAAATTTGGAATGTAAATATCTTTTTCAATAATAATTTTCCTGCGTTTTATTTATTTATTTATTTATTTATTTATTGCATTGTCACACTTACGATTAGCGTTAGTTAGTTAAAACATTTAACTAACTAAAACATTTAACGCCTCTGTGGCTGAGCGGATACCTTACTGGACTGCCAAGCAGAGGCCCCGGGTTCGATTCCCGGACCGGGTAATATATTTGTAATATATAATATATTAGACATTTATTTCTCTCCTGAGTTTGATGTAAGTTGTTGTTGTCTATGTGTCAATGCCACTCACCTTGTGCGGGGCTAATGAGTGTGTGTGTTATTTATTATTTATAAAATACCAAAACTCATATTACCTATTTGGCTATTCATGCACGGTTAGAGGAACTTAATTTTTTAGACTATTTATCTTTGGCACAGTTTTTTTAATCTCAGTACAGTTCTTCTAAACATTAAATTAAAATTAAAAAACAAAATCGGACACAATACAAAGCGTAAGAGAAAAAAAAAACAAAAAACTACCTGCAAAACATCAACTTGTTTCTGTAACTGCTGCACTTTAGCCTCCAGCTCTTCGATTCGCATATCCTTCAGCTTGATCTGGTGCTTCATGTCGTCCTCCATCTGCTGCGAGGCGAGCCGCAACTCCTGGTATTTAGCAGTGTAGTGAGCCTCTAGCGCTTTCTTCGCGTCTAACAACTGAGGAGTACATTTTGAATTTTGATTACAGATCAAGATATTTGGCCTGGACTGGGCACGAATTTATGTAAGTGCGTTTAATGCAGATAATGGAAGTATATACCAAGTTTATATTGATCACGCAAACGGTGATATAACTAAAGCTTTGTGCGTGCACGCACAAGTAATAACATTTATTGTTATTGTTGTTATCGTATGGCACACGAAGTGCTCGGTTCCCATCGGTAAGCACTCCGTGATCTTAATGATTTAGCAGTAGAGTTCCCTGTGAAAGAGTTCGTTCAGGGAAGTACTGCCACCTTGCCTATGCCTTCTGCCGCCAAGCAGTAATGTCAGCAGTACTGTATTCCGGTTTTGGAGGGTAAGGGTGCTGGTGAAATTACAGGCACACGAGACTAATGAACTTATCTCAGGATGACAGACGCAGCGGCAGTGCCCCTTAGATATTTACGGTTTAAAGCTCTGAGTGGAACTGGAACTGTCATGGACAGGCGTGGTTGTTAGTCTCATCCCGCGTTTGATGTCTCCTTAGAGAGTGGGCTGCTGCTGGGTACGCAGTGGAACGTACAATGATAATGATATTGAGTAGAATTCATTATCATCATGATTTCAGCCAAAAGATGTCCGCTGCTGGACATAGGCCTCCCCAAAGAATGCCACAACGACCCGTCCTGGGTCGCTTGCATCCAACGGATTCCCGCAGCCTTCACCAGATCATCAGTCCACCTTGTGATTGGTCTGCCCACGCCGCGTCTTCCGGTACGCGGTCACCACTCGAGAACTCTTCGGCCCCATCGACCATCTGTTCTGCGAGCAATGTGCCCTGCCCATTGCCGCTTAATTAAAACGTCACCATTTATACCTTCTTCTCCCGTTCAGTATTGCGGTACCCTCGCAATCTGAAGTCTTCCGTAGCGCGACTCAGATCGGCGGCCAGAGCCCGGCATTGTTCTACGCCCTTGCTCAGCTTGCATTCTAGCTCCACGCGTTTTTTCGCCCATTCTTTTGCTAGAAGCTCGAGGTGGTATTCTTCTTTGCGTTGCAACTGAAACAGAGTAAGGCACATTTGAGACGTCTACAATTAATTAGGAATTCACAGGGTGATTTCATAGAAAGTTTCTGTCTTTCCGTCTGTCACTGTGGATTGTTTAAGTTGGGTTTTCACTATACGAGTGCGCTCGAACCGAGTCCACAACACGTGAGCCGAACGCACACGGACGTCGGTTCTATTTTTACGAATATACTCGGATCATTTTATGAAAACAAAATGGCGCCAACTAAAAATAATTGTATGAACGTGACATTAGTGAGGATTTACACGAGTTTTTATCTTCCTCTTCCACGTCACGAATAAAATTATTATCACGTCTCAAAATCCATTTTGTGGGCCAAATTTTTCTATTGCTTTATTTTTGCCCTTTCATGAGTTTGCAGTTCAGCCATTAACATATCTAAGTACCTCGCAGCAGCAGATCAGTCGTCGTCATCTTCATTGTTCAAGGAAACAAATGCCACTTGGACGCTGATGAACTAGTAAGGTGTAAACCGAAACCCGAGTGCACTCGTATAGCGAAAATCCGGCTTTAACGTTCTACGTAAACGCGAAAAAATTACCCAAAATGCAAATGCGAAAAAATTACCCGTGTTCGGAACCTTATTCGAGAGCTAATTGAATTTTTTTTATAACATCAAGTGACGGGACGAACAAATCGTGCGCCTGGTAAGCTACACGCCTGTCCACAACACTTGCAGTGCCACTCGGAACCTTAAATCGCGAAGATGAGGGGCACTGCCAATGCGTCCGTCACCCTGAGACATAAGTTGACAAGTCCGTGTGCCTGTAATTTCACCAGCACCCTTATTCTTCAAAACCAGACAACAGTCATGCTGACATTACTGCTTGGCTGCTTGAAATAGGTAAAGTGACAGTACTTCCCTGGATGAACTCTTTAACAAGGAGCTCTACTGCTACTAATTGTGCCAAGACTATTTTTTTTTTAAATTAAGCTAAGGCGGCCTGTTTGTATGAAATCTAAAGGTTGCACAAGGGATGCAACCAAAGAATGTCTTGCTATATGATAACATATGGGATAGAAATACCATTCTAGGACCACCTACTCACAAACCTGAAGTGTTGCAAACGCCGAAACGTTTTATACCCAAGTAAAACTCCTTTTATTGAATAATGAATTTTACAGTGTCGAGGAATTTCTTTAGAAAAAATTGTAATTTATTTTTATTTGACGTCGTTATGTTTCGGCAATATCTGGTGTTTTTTTTTTGCTTATTCTATTACTTTATTTTATAGTCATTATTATTGCTTAAGTTAGTGGCTATCATGTTATCCCTTGACATTATATTTTAAATTATAATATTGTGACATTGATAATATAAAATATATTATTCTATTCAAATAAGATATACTACATACATATTTTATTTATTTTTACCTCATGACTTTTTCCATTGACCTACCTGGCATTTATACAATTCCTGCTGTTTCTCCTTCCAATCTTCCAGCTCGTCGACGAACTTCTGCATAATAGCATCCCTCTCTGTCGGCGTTAACGCCATTTTCACCAAATCTGTTTATATTAAAAAATAAACACATATTAACAAGCATTTGTGTTAAATAAATAAATATATATAAATTGTTGATTAGCAAAGTAAAGATGAAGTTGCGCTACACGAATATATACCAAGTTCATAGCCGATAAATGAATGGAACTCAACAACAACCTTTACTTGCGAACACAATTGCACATGAAGCCAAAAACAGTCGTAACTCAAAACTGTGGAATTGAAAAAACACAATTCGAAAATTTTAAAAACTGATCTGATCTGATGAACTGGATCTTATTGCGAATAATGTCATTATTTTTATTTATACAGAATACCTAATTATCCATTTATAAATGAGAATGTTATTATATTGGTTTCATAATTTTTTTTTTCAATTCGTGTTTTCTCAATCAATTCCACAATTTTGAATGACGACAGTATTTGGTAACGTGTGCAGCATGTTTTATTAATTACCTTTATGTGATGCATTATTTTCAATCAGAACTTAGAATAAGTAATTAGGAATTTAAATATGTAAATAAGTTCTTTGCTGTCAAAATAGTCAAGCACATAATGTGAGGTGGTACACGTCCATAACTCAAGGAAATCTAGTGGAAAAAAAACGCTACTAAATGACGCTCGCGTAATTTTGTTATACATTTGTAATTTTGTTTATAAATTCAACGCCCAGATAAGCTTGTAATGTTTGATAAAAAGGAAATTTAGCCCGAGCGCTACATATATTCACTAACCAAAGTCAAATGAATGGTCAGTTTTCTATTACATTTTATAGGTACAACACAGTTAACTTTGATAGCATCAAAAACTTGCGATTTTCACATCGAGGTGCAAGTATTAGCCGAGCCTTTAATGTCAATCACATTACACATAAAGCCTATTTAACGGGTATATGACCAAAAGTGTGCTATTTTGTATTCAACAATTCTTTAATAAATCACTAGCTGACCTGGGCAATGGAAAAAAATCCCATTGACCGGACTAGTCTGGCCATCAATCTGGCCAACGGGAAACACTGCCATTTTCGATCAAAGTGAAGTCAACTCTAAGGCTTATTCTCAAGATTTAAATTTTTTTTCTATTGATTTGGTAACACCCGTAATAAAAATAATATAATTCCTCTAAGTTTTATTTATAAGTCCATATTATTTCAATGAGTATTAATCTATGAAATACAAAAATTACACACAGAAATTACAAGTGCTCTCTCACTCACTCATCCGCGCTCGAGACGCAGCTGATGAACACTGTCGCGTGGGCTGGTAAAGGCAGCGTAATTTCGCGCACATAATTCAACGGTCGGACGTGACATAATTTAAATGTTTACATACCTGTCTCCTTCGGATTGTGTCCCATGTACGCCATACTATAATGTCCACTTCCCGTTTGTCTGATGCATGTATCGCTTTTGCTCGGTTCCAAATGTACGGTATCACTGAAAATGTTAAAATAAGCTACCAAAATGCATTTAATGCTATGAGAAAAGATTAATGGAATAAAAAGAACTTTTATTTTGGCGAATGTAAGACGTAGGGGTTGATATTAAAAGCCTTTCAACTAATAGTGTAACAAGCCTGGGCTTGTTTTTCATACCACCCTGTTTAATGAACTACACTTACTTTTTTGGTACGCGTTGCAAGACGATTTAGACTAACTCCAATAAAAAAATAACAAACAATAAATATAACTTATATGTGGTGATACATCCTGACATTCAATAAAACACTTAATTACAGTGAATAGCGACATCCCTAGCCAGGGCTGGTAGCTGTAAAGGTGCCTAACTAGGCGACGAAACACTTTCATAGATTTCTTATAGATGGCGCTACGGCAAAAAAGTCGTTAAAAACCAGATACAAAGATTTGATAACAAGCACATGGAAAAAATCATGAGGTCTGCTGGTTCGTTGGAACAGTGTCTGGCACGGTTTGCTAGAAGACGTCGGTTCGAATCCGGCCCGATCGAAATAATTTTTTCTAAGTGTTCGATCTTTGTATTAATAATTATAACAAACTAGTGGAGTAATTTCACAAAAATATAATTGAATATCATGGTGGTGAAACATCTTAACATTCAATAAAACACTTAATTTATAACTTATATAGTCATGATTGTACACAAAAGTATACTATGACCACTTTATTTTCACTTTTGGAAAGAATTATCCCAAAAAAGAGGATAATAAATTTCCACTATGTATATCTTAACAAATGATACTCTTCTTAAGGTTGTTATTTAACCCATTGTTTGACCGATATTCTCATCATATTGAATAAATGGAGGTATCGACCAACCTTGTAGGCCTAGGTATTTTGATATCCTCCACAGGCACGTCTTCTGTCTCAATTAATGGTTCCACCTGCACTTGCATGTCGCTAGTAGTAGGTTTTACTCTGGCAGCCAGAAGTTTCTCTTGGCTGCTTGTAAACGATTCATACATCTTCTTTATTAGGTCCGCCAGTTCGTTTGTCTGAAGGTACGCGTCGCCGCCGGCGTTTTTGTATCTGAAATATGTGGGAAAACACATGTACATTATAGGACATCTGTACATTTTTTTCCATTTAATACGACACTTCAATACACAAAAGGCCTGCCAGCTTACAAGCAGCTATTGATTGCAGTTGATAATAATATTCCACCGACTAATAATAATAAGAAAAAGCCTTTCTTGTTTCATTTGAATTAACTCTCAAAATAAGAAGAAAGAAGCCGATAATGCTACTTATTTGTCATTAAAATATACACTCTCCATACTTTCTATAAAATGTTATCTTCTTTCACAATCTATCGATAAATTTTAAATAGTCATGACTATTTAAAATTTACGAAAAATGGTAACCCAGCAAATCTTAACATACAGTTACCAATGCTTGTACTAAAGTATAATATTATAATTAGTAGAAATAGTGGATCGACTGGCAACACTGAGGCGGGAAAACAATATCAAAACTTGTATTTAAATTCATCGTAAATACTGTAGAAACAAATTAATTAATTTTGCTCTATTACTAAGCTATTATTTTTTTTAATATATTACTTTCTATGTTTATTGTCATTGTCTCTAATATTTCGACTGACGGACTTGTATGGTCATGAAATAAATTAATGACCATACAAGATCAGCTGGCTTAACCATTCAACAGTGGATGTTTAGGCAGAGATGATAGTCGCATTCTATAATTTAAAATGCATTCACTAAATATTATCTTCAACTAAGTTCCCACCTGCTAGTATTGCTAACACCCATGTTAGTATAGGAGACACCACCAATGTCTTCAGTAAGGTTGGTGCAGCTGCCGCTTTTACAGTCGATGATGATGACGTCTTGCGGCATCGGGTCGTGCTTTCTGTCGCTCTCTAGTTGAGTGACGCTGCGAGCGGTTAGGAGGCTTGGTTTCTGCAATCACAACACAAAATATGTTTTCAGCAGAGAGTTTCATTAAATGAAACGTACGACAATCATAAAATGTCACATTGCTTCAACATAGTAACATGTTGGTAAGCGACACGCCAATCCCTAGCAATTGCAGTGCCACTCAGAGCTCGCAAAGATCTGTGAGGCACTGTCACCGCGCCCCACACCGTTGACAAGTCCCATATGCCTGTAATTTCACCAGCACCCTTTCCCTTCCAAGCCGGAACGCAGTAACGTTCACATTATTGCTTGGCGGCGGAAATAGGTGAAGTGGCAGTACTTCCCTATTACGTCTATTTGGATTACATTATTACCGCAACGTGGAAATTGTGAAAATTGTGAAATTTTTAGACGGCATAACAAAGGATCCTTCAGTATTCCGGCAGTATTATTAGGCATGCCGAAGCAAACCGTGTCACGACATCGAGCTCGCACCTAGCCTCGTTTCAGATTAGTTGTAATGATGCAAGTAGGTTTATTACCAGCTGTATAATTAAAATTGGTAGTTTTGCTCAAGATGAAGAAGAAGAGAACCGTATTCCAAGATGACGATTTTGGGTGAATAACCTTCAGAAACCTGCCGAAGCATCCCGATGGCTGCCGAGGCTCGTTATACCTAAGCTTAGCGCAGTTTTATTTTTATAATTACAACGTTTATAATATAAATTTCAACTATAATGTACTATAAGGTATACAACTATTTGTCACCTAAAAATACCTTAATGTACAACAAATAAAATTTCATTCAATTCATACCTTATCCTGAGCGACACCCAAATATTTGAGGGTCATTTCCACATCAACGTAAGGGCGACGCGATTCATTACGCGGCTCCGTTTCATCACAGCGCAGTAAAAAACATCGTTCGTGTATTGTCAGTGCTTTAGCCGAGTTGCAGAACGATGTTTGGAACTGGTGAATGTCGTTTGTGGGGATCAATTTGCGTAAGTCCATACTGCAGATACCTGAAATATTTTATTACTCTAAATACGTTGTATAATTTAATTTTATTGTATAATATACTATGGGAGACAAGGTAAAGTATGTTGATGAGTATTGTAAAAAAATCTCAATTGTAATTATAAATTGAGAATTAATTTAATTTAGTCATTAATACAAAGATCGAGCACTTCAGAAAAAAATCCTTCGATCCGGCAGGATTTGAACAGACATCTTCTAGCAAACAGTGCCAGACGCTTTGCCAACTAAGCCACGGAACGAACCAGCGGACCTCACAAATTTTTCTATGTGATTGTTTTTCGGATCTCTGTATTTGGTTTTTCAACGACTTTTTAGCCGTAGCACGACCTATGAGAATCTATGAAAGTATTTCGTCACCGTGTTAGGTAACTTTACAGTTACCAGCCCTGGCTAGAGATGTCGCTATTAAGAAACTAGTGGAGTAATTTCACAAAAAATAATTGAATATCAATTCAATACAAATTGAATTTATGTTAAATTTAGAAGCTATTACCACCACTGGAATACAAATGCACGAAGTGCTGAATAATCGGAAATCAAATTTATTTATTAGCTTACACTAACCTGTACTTATACTACTTAAACTTACACTACTAATAGTGTAAGTTACTATTAGTAGTGTAAGTTTAAGTAGTATAAGTACAGGTTAGTGTAATAATTGACTTAGGTCAATGGAACTAGTCCATTGACTTAGTTCCCATTTAAGAAATTATTTAAGAAATTAACTTTTTGTTTATTTATGTATCTAATTGGATACATGGACTGAATCACTTTCGAGTATTTGGTTACATTGGAGAAGTGAAAAAGTCTCTGAATCTTTCTTTGCTTGGAACTGTTTTTGTCATCGCTGGCCAATATTGTCAAACTCGTTTTATCATAATGACTCAAGCGAAATCAAAACCAATACGAAATACAATTTTAGTAATTAAAATAACGCTACCTAAAATTTCTCGATAGCCCTAGAGCAGGGTAGAGATGATGAGCCACGATAGCATTGGTTAGCCTGTTTTTCGTAAAAAAAAAACGGTTTTTTATTTACCGCTAGGAAGACGGATTAAGGGAGTCAGTACACTTATTGACGTGGAATCGGCTTGATGAGATAATGTTTTAACCACACTTGTCACATTACGCACATTCGTCGTTCGGACGTTGACTATACAGTTCGTGCGCAGTCGCGGCCGTTCGGGTGTCGACTCCGCCTATCAGCCGTCATCGGCTGCGTATGGACGCGATCGGAAATATGCAGGAAGCAGAACCGTTGCTGACACGCATCGCGTCGTACGAATCAATGTGAAACGCATGTCTTTTTCGCTCTACGTTCATGGACATAAAGCTCTTTCTAATCGGCTTAATGCGATTCTGCGTTAATAAGTGTGGTGACTCCCTTAAGCTTGCCATAGAGTGAACATTTGAAAAAGCCAACACAGACATTTTTTACAATATAAAATGCATCCAGCAAGTGAAACCCACCTCTATCCATGTCATTGACACAGACGCGTATGACAAGATGAGGGCATTCAGCAAAGTACAGAGCTAAAGCGCTCAGAGATGAACGAATGCGTAGCGATGTGCGCTGGTTGAATTGCGCTGTTAAGCTGCTTCCACCTGTCTTTGCTTCGACCCTGAAATATTATACCAGTCAGACATACATATGCAAAGGCAACATACACATACAAAAACAACGATACACGGTGTGCTCAGGCGGTCACCCATCCAAGTACTGACCACGCCCGACGTTGCTTAACTTCGGTGATCGGATAAATGATGTTTTCAATTTTCAACATGATGTGGACGCGTGCGTATGCTATGGAAGCAATTCTTAGCCGCTTATTTGCCTCCTGACATTATTCTGTGGGATTATATTTATTTCTTGGTTTCTTACCTATCAGTCCTAATGTCATGAGTAAAGACGGAATAGTTGACGAAACAATCCGCCGGCTCTTTTTGAGTCGCGGCTTTTACGGGCAGCAGCTACGAAGGAAATTAAAAAACATAATTAAGTTCTAGATGAAATTCGTATTATAGGCGTAACTGTGAAACTATAAAGTCAATGTGAATTGTTAAAATGTATTCATTTTAGAGACCCTTTAATGTTTCGTAATGGACTTGGTTGAGCATCGTCAGTTTGCGAGTGTTTTGGCGACTGTAATTAAGCTGCAATCTAATATCACAGAAAGCTTGGCAGCGTTCTGTGATATTAGATTGCACCGACCGACCGTCTGGATTTTGTCCCTTAGTAGCACCCAACAAAGTTAGCTAAAGGATTTTAAAAACTTCTAAAAACACAATATTTTTCATCAATAAAAAAGGTGCCATAAGGATTAATTATTATTGGCTTGTGGGTGCAACGAATTATTACCAAGTCCAAATTGTCAACGGCGCCGATAACGAAGCTGAGTACAAATAAGTGCCGCCCATTGCCGATCTGAATGAGCCCTTCGTCGCAGAGTAAACGGGGCTGTAGCTCTGTAGTCAACGCCGTTCGCTTGCTCTCCAATATGTACTCATCTGAAATTTTTTTTAAATTGTTTTGCACAACTCAAATTTTGCCTGGATATCAATCCAGGCAAAATTTGAGTTTTGAGATTATACTACATCTTAGGACAGCAAACAAGCAAGCATGGGATCAGATGAAAAACGAAAAGTTTTTAAATGAATAAATTTTCACAATCTCTATCTGACACATTCACCAAATGAGACAAAAAAGTTGTAAAACTTGAAGTGAAATTTCCTAAATACATGAGCAGAGATTATTTGATTTTTAATTCGGGACTTAATCACGTATAAAACATATTTTATTTTGTTTACCTCGACGTTTCGGACATATTGCAACGTCCATGGTCTCGAAGGGACTGAAGAGGCGGGTGTCAGCATCTTCTAGCCGTGCGAGTTTTTCTAACTACCCGCACTTGATCTTCATTATTTATTTGTGCATGAGGGTTCTCACTAGACCGACACACAATACTCACGACATCCGGCAACTTGTCGGGCGATACTTGATGTCGCTTACACTTGCTGATAACTGGATCCCATGACGATGAAAGCTTAAAACCATCTTCTCGGTTGAAATTACGGTGTTTTTTAATTTCAATAGCTTCACGTACGATTCTACTACAGTGATGACGTTCCGTAGAAAGGGTCTTGGGATTATGAAGCTCAATCCAGTGGTTTAGTCCTGAATCCAGCAAATGCCCGGCTATTGCACTTATTGAGCAGACTGTTCTTAACAGCCGCGATGTGTTCTTTAACTCTTTCCGCGATGGTGCGTTTTGTCTGCCCAATATAGGAACTCCCACAACTGCAATCAATCTTGCAAACGCCCGGAGATTGAAAGGGGATTACATCCTTAGGTGATCTGACATGCCCCGTGACCTTAGATAGCGGCGTAAACACAGTTTTTATAGAGTACTTTTTAATACTGTACCGATTTTGTCCGTTATTCCTTTCACGTAAGGCATGAACGCTGGTCGCCTTAAAACGTCAGGACGTTTCTCTTTAGCTTTCCACCGTGGTTGCCGTCTGTTTACTCTGTATTCGTTCCACCTAAGGACCTTTTGAACGTGAGATATCTCATTCTCCAAGAATTCAGGGTCACAAAGGTCATATGCTCTGTTTATAAGAGATCTTACAACAGACTGTAGGTAACGGGGATGGTGGTGAGACAGAGCGTTTAAATACCTGTCTGTGTGTGTCGGCTTCCTGTAAACTTTGTGCGTCAAGGATCCGTCATTTCGACCTACCACTTTTACGTCCAGAAAAGGCAAGCTCCGTTCCGACTCCAATTCATACGTGAAGTTAATTTTTGGATGAATTGAATTGAGATGCTGTTGTAATTGCTCAACTTCTCGTTCACTACCCTTCATAATGCAGAAAACATCATCAACATATCGTTTCCATAACTTCACTGCAAATGGTTGCAGGTCTATACTGGCCTTAAAGTGTTCCTCCAGATATTTGCCATGACCGGGGTTACAGGGCTACCCATGGCAACACCGTCGATCTGGAGATAATGCTTCCCACGATACAAAAAGTAACTGGTCTCTAAACAGTTTCGTAGCAACACCATGATTGACTCCAACATCTCACTGTCTCGACGTTTCTTCTTAATAACATCAAGACATTATTTTACGGGAACATTGGTGAAAAGTGATTCTACGTCAAAACTCACCATTATATCGTCCGGTTCCAGCTTACTGTCCTTGAGAATGTCTATAAAGTGACGAGAATCCCACACAAAGGACGACGTTCCTCTTACAAGCGGTTGCAGCACTGATGCAACATGTTTTGCAAGATCGTAAGTGGGGGAGGCAATTTGACTTACGATTGGCCGCAAAGGCACACTGGTTTTATGTACTTTAGGCAATCCGTATAGTCTCGGCGGTTGCACTATTTCAGGCCTGTGTAACCGGTCATAAACGTCTTCCTCGAACAACTCTCTATCTCTGATGACTGCTCTTATACGGCAAGTGACCCTGGCAGTAGGGTTGTATGAGACAGGGTTATATACGAGAGTGTCATTTAATAAAGCTTATATTTTGCTACCGTAGTCAGCAGAGTCCATCACCACAGTGGCATTTCCCTTGTCAACCCTAAGAACCAGGATATCCTCGTTCTTGCTTAGGTCCTCAAGAGCTGACCGCTCTTCTGCAGTGACATTACTTGTCGGTAGCCTCGCTTTTCTGAGAATAACCGCAACATCCTGTCAAAGCACCTCCGCATCCCCAGAAGGCACCCTGTTCCGCGTTATTGCTTCTTCCACTCTACTGATTACGGTCTCATATGGAACTCGTTTAGGTGTCAAAGCAAAAGTCAACCCTTTCTCCAGTACACTTACTGTCGCATTTTTCAAAATAGTGCGGGACAAATTTATAACAATGTTAGGTTTGGCACAGCAACTTTCACCCGCATTCACGTTTTTTCCGTTACGAACAAACAACTTGTCATATTTCTTTTCATGTACCTCAATTCGCAACTCAAAAATACGGTCCGCCTGCTAATAGATTATCCGATCACACAAATCAAAATTACTATGCGACAACACAGCACTACACACTTTATGCAACTCGTATAATTCGCACCGCACTTTGTCCAGGTCCGTGTAATTGTTCCTAATGAGCTGTTTTAATAGACGGACACTCGCAGCCCATAGAATATTTGCAGAAAACGGTATATCCTTACGCGATTTTATCCTAACACACGTAGGAAGTAATTCCGAATCGCGGCATTTAGTTAAAAATGATAACGATGTAATTATGCGCACTCGTTTTACCTGCAAGAATTCTAGATGTTTAATTTTATTTGCAATTTCCGGCCCGTACAAACTTGAACTGTTTGCCTTCTGTTTGTTAAGAAAGATTTTAATAAATCGTGGGCAACTCCGGTGATACCATACATAGCTAATTTTTGTGTTAGTAATTTATTCCCAATTACATCGAACGCCTTTGTGAGGTCACAAAAAATCCCTGCTGTTTTATACCCATCATCAATGCTGGGTAATGATAGAATCCAGTACACTTTGCGCTGCAGCTGTGGTGGACTTACCTACAGTGTAGAGGAATTTCTTATTTATAGTTATCCCTTGACATTATATTTCGAATTGTGATATTATGAAATTGATAATATGAAATAAATTATTCTATTCTATTCTGTTATTTACTGCACAAATAGTATTTTTATATATCTCACATTGAAATTGATACTGGCACTAAACGAAAAAGTCAATTTATGGTGCAATTTCAGAAACTTTAATGGTCATTAAAGTTTCTGAAATAGAGTCTAAATTTGAATAAGCGAGTTTCGTTTAGTGACAGTGTTGTTTTCAAGGTGCAAATTATGTACATATAAGTGGTCCACTCATACTTGAAATAAATGATTTACTTACTGAGGGTCATCAATATAGATCTGACTTGAGGCTGCACTGTTCCTTGGGAAGATGGGTATACCACTTCGTTACTGTGAAACAAACATAGTTCATTGCGCTGAAACATAAACATTTAAGATCTTTTAAAACCCAAACAAACACAGTTCTACTTAGGTCACTACAAAAATGGGTTAAACATAAAATACTTTCTCTCCCACATTTCATATGGGACATTTCCTGTTTTACCTAAGAACAGGTGGTTAGAAAAGAGGGCACAAAAAGATTACAAAAAATAAAAGAGGGTGTTTAGCACAATATTTTGAAGATTTATGCAACATATGTGAACCATATAGAAAAGTTTCCAGATGTTCTGTAGTTTGTAATCTAGCACAATTTTCTTTCTCAATGTACATATGCTTTATATTTTGAAATAGTGAATTGTTTAATTTCTTACAGGAGTAACAGTGTTCACTCTGTCTTCAATAGAGAGGCTGACTTGCAGTTGAGGCTGACAACACTTGCCCTCAGACCGTATGCCAAGAAGCCTATGCCAAGTAAGCTTTAACTGAAAAAAAATATACTTTGTAAATTGAAATTGCAAAAAGTGTTTTGGGTTATTAAAATGTACAGGAAAATGAGTCAATAATCTGTGATCTATATAGTAAGCGTGTATCCTTATGTAAGGTGAGCAATGACATGGCCTTAATGTTTCTTTTTATTGAAAAAAAAAACTTCATTACAAACCTGTAGGAAAGTGTTAGAAGCAAGAACAAGGTATGCTCAAAACACTTACATCAACAATCTTATTAGATGGAGAAGGGACTGCTCCAAGTAGACTCAATAAGAAGTATCCTACTTTGTCTTTTCTGCCTTGAGTGCCCAAGGTGTGAACCTCCACTTTAATAGGGACATTTTGGACTCGCAGACTGAAAAATAACTTTTTCATAATATCCACAATCACTTAACATGTGGAGAACTACACAGGTATACTAGTTGCTAGATTAATAATTATATCCTTTGGTAATAGGTCCTGCTAAAACTCACCTCCGAAATCTGCGTTTATCTGCCTCCCATACGAGCTCGGCGTCGAAAACTGGTGCGTGGCAAGGAACCACTGGATCCGTCTCCAGCATATAGCCATTGAGGGAGCCGCTAACTATGAACGGAGTCCGCAAAAAACCGAAACCAAGTCCTAAAACAAAAAACAGCCATAGAATCGTCCTATACATCATTGATAAAAAAACGATGTATAACCTTCTTTTATGTGTAGAACTATCTGGATAGTAGGCCCTCGTAATTCATCCATTAATAGTTTATTTGAAAAAAAAGTAAAAATTACAAATTCAAATCAAACAACGTAAACAGGCACTTCCGGCACTTCCAAAACACCTTCCAAAATCAAAGAATGACATACGACTGACATTTCTTTCCGGAGTTGCCTTACATAGAAATAAACAGTCATTCGTTTCATATTATTAACCGCGCGTAAAGGCAAAAGAAATAAAAAATAAAATGACGAATTCTGTAATTATTATATTGAATGCTCGAAGCCCGAACTGATAAATCATAATTTATGATGTTTACAATTACAATACAATATTACTAAATGTAATACGTCGTGCGAGACTACATGCGTGGTCCATATGCAGAATAGTGTGTGAGCAGTCGCCAGCGTGCGCGGCGGACTGCCATACAGGTAGTGAATGGGCCGTTTTATTTGAAGTTTAGTTATATACACTTCGCTTATTCCAATCTTTGATCATTTCAGTGGAAGTATTAAAATTAAAAATATTATTGAAAATAAGATCTATTTAAAAAAAATTAATATGGAAATTGTGAGCATTTTGACAGTTTCTTCTTCGCTTCTATTTAGCTTACCTAGTTCAAATGTGAATGTGAAAGTTCAAATTTGTCTCTTTCTGTTGTTAAAAGCACATTAAGTAGATTAAGCTTAACTTTAGACCGTTATATTCGTTAGCAGTATAGAGTTAAATTTTAAATCTTAAGTGTTAAGCTTTACGTTCTCTTGACTGTGTATGAGAGTTGACAAAATTGCTTTACATCGATATCTTAAGATTCCCGGAAAACATTGAGCTCCTCAACTCTACTTATATAGCTATGTAGCGGAAGTCATTCACCGGAATGAGGAATGAAAAAGGCAAATATTTTTAAAACTTTTATTATCTCTAATAGATTTAAATCATGATCTTTACAAGCAATTACGTTGGGCTGGCTTAATTTATTTAACTTTAATAAATTGTTATATACTAAAAATGCATACCTGCAGAGTTATTTCATATTTCCGACTTTTAAGTAAAATGTTCAATACAAAGATGTCATTTCGATGTTTTTGATAGCGTTGAGTGAATGAAAATAGTCAAAATATTTTGAATTAGCTTTTGTAAGGAAATTATCATTAACTCATTATTAATGTAACATCAAGTCAATTTTACAAATGTTTTAAAATGAAGAAGTTTATAAGTGAATACAAAGCTCTACGGACTAAATCTGAGACAGAAACATTGAAAGACGGGTATGATAAACAATAATTTCATTAGCCTGTTGTAAGGTTTTTTAACATTACGGATTACTTTAGAACGTACGGTGTAGGCATTTGATTTGCTATAATTTGAGGGTAAGATTAATTTTACACGGTTGACGAGTAGCGACAGCGTTAACTACGGCGTGGCCGCTGTGGCGGGAGGCAGACGGCAGCGTCGAGGCCCTACCGGCGCGGTCGAAGTCAGTCACCGGAGCGCAACGAAAAGTAATTTGTACAAAAACCAAATTTAACTCATTGCGAATGGCGCGTTGTTCGTGATGTTTTGTCTGACCGCACAATATATCGGTGGTCATTGTTGCTAGTCGTTTTTTGTGGCGATCGGTCTTCTAATGCGCCGGTATTGTTCCGCGTGCTCCTCATACCGATGGTTTTCATCATTCATCATTTTACTTAAAGTTCTTTGGCGAAAAGTAGTCGCAATTAGTTTTCACTGTAGACTGTTTTTGTATGTAGTGGTGTAATTATTGTAGGAACAAAGTGGATACCGCACAGGAGATGGGAGTGTTCAAGTGGTTACGCCGGTGAGTACTCTAATAAAGTAAAATATATATATAAATATATATTATTATTATTATTTACATATTCATGAATTGAAGTGGATTTTAAGTGATTTTTAAATATATCATTAACAAAATTTCAATTTGTTTAGCAAACAATAAAAAACGGTATAAACTAGAACAAGCTCAGCTTTAAAAGCACCTCATTAATTTCAACTCTTTGCTATTTATGATAAAAATGGTCCAATATCAAATGGTGTAAGCTGAAAATACTGTTGATAAAAAACATGTTTTCTTCAGAAATCACAAGATATTATTTCAGCCAGTGTACATATTTGATATGTTATTTTCGTTGTTTTAAAAGATACAATAATAACAAATAATAATTTCCACAGAAGTGTATAGGTATTATTATATATTTTTAGTGTTATTTCCCATTATGTTTATTTTTTTTTTGTAATAAATGGTACCTACCCTCATAAAATTCGTCCAAATATTCCCCACCTCGATTTAAGACTTAATAATTAAAATACCACAATAAGTTTTAAGTGGTGTATTCATAATTTTTATTATTTGAATGACCTTATTTGGCTTAATTTAACAATATATGTATATTTAAATAGTTGGAAAGAGCTCAAAAATGTTCACACTTCTTTTCATCATTTATGACAATCCTAAATTCATTGTCCCAGCATGATGTAAGACCACTCCACCCAAAATGTTGAATCGATCTAAAGCTCTTTTGATTTGATTTCAATGGGTCTGTACATATCCCCATAAACGACCTTACATACCATTACACATTTACTATAATAAGCTTGAACACGGTAAGGTTTGCTTGTGTGGTGGATTGTATCATACCCATTGTTGCATTGGATGCAATTTAATTATTCCCATATGTGTTGAAACCTTTTTATTCAGTTGTTGAATACTGACATTGCTTACTATAGGAAATTGCTTCCTTTTGATCACGTCATTCTATAATCGCAATTCTCATTGTAATTAATTTACCTTGACTATATTGTGACAAACAGATGACCAAGCATTTTTGGAGATACTCTGCAGTAAGGAAGTATTCTACTTAAATTTATTTTACAAAAAATTAGAAGTATATTTATAATAACGAAAACTTTTAATCGTAATTCCTTTTTTCCGCGACATAGTGGAACTAGGATAGTAAATTCCTCCTGTATTTTTCCGTCGTCGAATTCCGCCTCTCAAGCAGAGGCCTCGGGTTCGAATTCAGACTTGCACCTCTGAGTTTTTCGGAATGTATGTGCGAAATTTAATTTGAAAATTTCCATGCTTTTCGGTGAAGGAAAACATCGTGATGACTGCACGTCGAAAAAGGTTCACAACCCTCTGAAAACGTGTGAAGTCCCCCACCCGCATTGGGCCAGTGTTTCAAACTATGGCCTAAAATCTCGCCTGAGAAGAGACTCGTGCCCAGTAGTGGGATGTATAAATGTGTCAATAAATATTAGACAACATCACACACATTGCTCTGATCCCAAAGCTAAAGCACTTGTATTATGGAAATCGGAAACAACGACGGTACCACAAACACTCTGACCCAAGACAATATAGAAAAGTTAGTTTTTTTCTACACTGACCCAGCTGAGATGGCGATACCATGAAAACCGGTGTGCCAGCCACTCGACCACGGAGGCCTTCATGATGATGTTGATGTTTAGAATCAGTTATTTTACAGAAACTCTCTACTTAAACAACCTTGTTTCGTAACGTACTTACGTCATACATATATCTCTCCGAAAGTTTCAGCTTAGCTGTTTTTCGGACAGAAATTGAACTTTTCAATGAAATTCACTAACTCGCAAATTTTATTAATTCGCTACATTTTATGGCAGGTTGTATGACCCCGTATCACATGTCTCGACTAGCCCAACAAAACTGTCACAAAACAATAAACGTAATTTATAGGTATTATATTGAGTCATAATGGTACCCGTGTATTTAAAATATTCCGAAGTTTGTTCAATTCAAACAGATTACTCTATCTGTACCTCTTTCCATTGAATTTGTATTTTATAACACTGGTTGCATAAATAACACGGAATTTACAATTTTAATGGGTCAGTGCTTAGCACTGGACGTATAAGAATTGATACTGGCAAATAGACACCAAACTTAAAAATTATTTCCAAACGTGTGCCTACAATATTTTTAAACGTATGCAGAATAAAATTATTTTTTTTAATAATATCTAGTGACGGAACGAACAAGTCGTGCGCCTGATGATGGTAAGATGTCCATGACAGTTGCCGTGCCACTCAGAGCTTTAAATCGCAGAGATCTGAAGGGCACTGCCACTGCGCCCGTCTCCCTGAGACATAAGTTGACCAGTCCTATGTGCCCATGATTTCACCAGCACCCTTACTTAATGTTGACATTACTATTTGGCGGCAGAAATAGGTAAGGTGGTAGTACTACCCTAGACGAACTCTTTCACAAGGAGCTCTACTGCTACAGTTTAGTGTCAATATCGCAAATGACAGTAAATTACATGCAAATAAAGATTGTCGGCTGTCGGAAAACTTTAGAAGGTCGCGAAAAATGCGGGTGTACATTTTTTGATTGTAGGAAGTATTTGAACTGGTTATCGTGCTCGTGACGTTGACAACCAATATTGTATTTTCTATTCGCTAAATATTTTTTTGGAATCCCATTGAATGCGTACATTTTGTATGGAAAAGCATAAATATAAACAAATATTTGACTACATCATAATATGTTGCTCAGATCCCAAAGTAAATAAGTAAAGCACTATATACAAAAGTTACTTTTTCTACCTTGGCCCGATCAGGGCTCGAATCCGGGACTCAGAGATGGCGTCATCATAAAAACCGGTGTGCAAGTCACTCGACCAAGGAGGTCATTAAAGTATATTTTTGGTAACACATTCGAAATTAATTTTTAGTTAAACGTGTTCACAAATCAGCAGCAGTGTATCTTCATAAGACAGCACAGTTTCGCGTTTAAAATTTAAATTCAATTCTGCTGCACTTAGGATAAAAATATCCAATTTATGAAGCTGAAGTACACTAGTTATAAGTTGGCCGGTCTTGTAATATCGCAACCAATACAGTCACTATATGAAAATCTCCTATTGGGGCGATGCCAATCTTGTCAAATTTAACGCTACCAAAACGTTGGTATATCTATTCTCTACAAAACGGAGTACATCTGACTCCCACTAATCGTGACACATTCGTACCGATAGCCGACCTCCAGTTCTACCCCTACGTTGTGGAAATTCTAAGGATTCGCACGAAGCGCTTTCACATTTATATGGTGAACGGCCATGAAATGTAATTCCCTGCCTGCAGACTTATTCCCTGAACGCTATAACTTGGGCCTTTTAAAGGCAAGAATGATTTCCATCGGTTACGTCATCGTCACTTTTCATCAGGTGAGATGGAGGTCAAATGCGCACTTGAATTTTTTTAAATAAGAAAAGAAAAATTTCTATTTTCTCAAAGTTCACCTTTTCGTTTAGTGACGTTATTGGTTTATACATGCGATATAGTGGAGTTTGTACATTAGATTATAAATTTATTTAGCTCTTTCAATATTACAGTGGTACTGGTACTACAAATAAAAAACATTTTCTTTGACGATAATTGGACGTAGTTACACAAAAAGGATAAAAAGGATCCAATCCACATCCACTGGAGATATGGCAGTTTGAAGTTAAAAAGTGTTTCTCACTCTTGTTTTATTTTCAAAACTTAGAATGTCATGTAACTCTAGAGATAAGATAATTTTTTTATGTTTATATGTTGCATTTCTTGCTGATCTAAGAGGTTAGACTTTGAACGCGGAACCGTTTATACTCATTTTTTGATAATTTTGTGGAGTGAATCCTTTTTGCTTAACTACGTCCATTTAGAAGTCGGTAGAAGTGATGTAAGGTGAATATTTACGAACCTTTTCAAGCCAGCAAGGCCTTTTCTGTTAAATACCTGCTCCAAAGTTAGAGAATAAATTTCTTAGGCAAACCGATACCAATTGTGTAGTATGAACCCCACGCCTATAGCAAATTGACAGTTTACAGCCACAGCTGTAGCAAGACTGTAAATAATTTCTAAGTACGGTACTTGACGCCCACGAATCATCATAAGATGGTACTGTTCCGGATTCGCAATGTTACCTCCATTCGAAACTCCCACGTTCGCCAATTCTATCGCAACCTCAGCCGACCTAACCCTAGACGAATGTACTATCACGCTGACAAGTTTCTTTGCGGTTTTTAAATATAATTATTATATACTATCGCGTTGGTAAATGAAATTGTCTCACACTTGGGGATTCTGCCGATATTATAAACGAGATTAACTGATCTGCACCTGAATGCGCTTCTACTCAGTCCCGAAACAATTGTAAAAATGTGTTGTATCAATTGTTTGTGCCGATAATGGAACGAACCTGCATGAAACAAGAACCTTTCGTCAAGATGGCTATAGTTTTTCTTCACTGTGCCACTCATTTGTGTATATTACGAAAAGTAAGGGAAAGACATTTAATATCGGCATTAAAGCGCTTCTATCATCGATATTACGTATATAAGAAAGACTATACCTCCATCAGATTACTATCAAGCTTTCAATAAGTTCGTACGCACGAACAAACAATTTCCGACAATGGCATTATAGCTATAATGCATTGATTGATGCCTCCACTAATTACTTTATTCAGCCTTCTAAAACAGTAATCTATTGAATTTCACTTTCACCAAACTTATTGATAGACACCGAGATGAGTATAACGTTTTCGATTGGCATTCTTTCATTCACGATGTTGTTTTATGCAATTTGAGCGCCCCCCGTACTAGACAACGGACAATACCGATGGTTATGGCAGTAACCTCTATTTGTCTTTTCTTTTTATGACATTTAAACTGGCAGATAGTCAAGACGTTCCATTTGCCTTAAGGTGATCAGGTGCCCTAATGGATATTTGCCATACTAAGGAATTATCTTTCGTACCGTGATTACGTTGCCGGC